ACTTAATTGCACTCATGTGAAATTGAATGTAAATTCCAGAGCACTTAATGGTGCTGATGTGAAATTTATTTGAACAGGAAGCTGTAATGACAACAGAGCAAGGGAACAGTGCATGGCTTAAAATTAAGGAGGGAATGTGTATCAGGGTTGTATCTCTCTCCATACTTATTCAATCTGTACGCTGAGCAAATTGCTCGAGAGGCTGGACTTTATGAAGAGGAGTGTGGCATCAGTATTGGAGGGAGACTCATCAATAAGTAACCTGCTTTATGCAGATGACATGACCTTGATTGCTGAAAATGAGGTGGACTTGAAACACTTTTTTGCAGAAGATCAAGCAGTGCAGCCTTTGGAATGGATTGCACCTCCATGTTAAGAAAACAAACCACTGGATCTATAGGCAACATCATGCTAGATGGAGAAAAGCTTGAAACTGTCAACAACTTCACCTTACTTGGATCCACAATCAACACCCTTGGTACTGGCAATATTACACTGGGAAAGTTTGCAGTTAGGGATCTCTCAAATTATTGAGGAGTGATAATGTCAGTTTGATGACAAAGGTGTGTCTGATTTGGGTCATGGCCTTTCTGATAACTTGCTATGCATTGGAGAGCTGGATGACAGAAGAATTGATGCCTTTGAGCTGTGGTATTGGAGAAGAGTACTGCACATCCATGAACTGTCAAAAGAATAAACAAATATGTCTTGGAGCAGGCACAGCCAGAGTGCTCTTTGGAGGCAAAGATGGTGAGGTTTTGCCTCCCATACTTCAGGAGTGTTGCTAGGAGGGGCTGTTCCTTAGAGAAGGACATCATGCTCAGAAAGGTGGAGCGTCAGTGAAGGAGAATACTCTTGACCAGGTGAATTAACATGGTGACTGCCACAATGGGCTCTAATATGTCACAAAGTGTGAGGACGGCACAGGACAGGACACGGTTCACATCTGTTATTCAGAGTCACCGTGGATCGTACTCAATCGCACCTAACAACAACCCATCTCAGGTCAAAACTTTCAACCATCACCTATAGCCTATGACCACTCATATTAGAAAGAGCTAAGACCCATTCCCCCAGTAACATGGTATTAAAATCTTCTGACCTTGACTATGTATCTCCACCTGTCTCCAGAGCTGTATATCCTGTTCATGAGTGCAGAGCTCTGGAGGGCTTTCCCTATAGGTAATTCTTCCCAGTTTCTATCTTTAATGGAATATTAACTAAATTAGATATTGTGATAGTAGAGATAAAAAACAATACAAAAGTTATCTCCTCAATGACTTTATGCTCTAGGTGGACAAACACCACCCCCCTCCAAGTAAAACAACAATTATAATTCTGTGAGATATTTGTTGTTGACATTTATTGTGAGATTGGAAAAGAGGAGTAATTCGATCAGTGAGAGCTTTGAGGTGACAGTGACAAAACATGCCCCC